GGCTTGTACCAGTTTTCGGGATGCTCGTAAAGGCTCTGGTTTCCACAGTCGCTACGCTGCACATAGCTGCGATCGGAACGCTCTGGCAATGGCATACCGCATAAGTGGCACAATCTGCCATTCATGTCCATGGCTGTCTCAATATCGGAAGGGTCCAAAGCACGGCTCACGGTTGAAACTAACTTTTCACCTTTCGCTCGTCGCACAGCAAGGTCGGTTTGCAAAAAAATGATGGGGTCTGACACAGCACGGTGACCCAAGACCACACCAAACAGAAAAGCGTAATACCTGCAGGATCTGCAGGACATGGACGGTGTTTCAATACAAAAGGGCAGTGGGTCTTCTGCGCCAAAAGCTTTGAGCCTGAGAGTCTGAAGAGACTGTGCCTTCGGAGATCCCTATTATAAGATCCTAAAAGCTACCGGGATGCGACAAAGGGTCATGGAACCAATGGAACCCTTAAATTCATTGTATAAATTGTATAACTCATTGTATCAGTGAGGGCTTCATTGAGCAACCAGCGGAGCAGCGTTCCATTTTTCCCCTCGTCTCACCTGGTCTCCCCTGGTCATGACATGGGCGAAGCACCAAAATGAAGCCTATCGGTACCCATTTTAGGAAACCTCCATATAGATCCATATAGATTAAATGATGTTTTATAGGAAACCTCCATATAGCTCATGACTTGGGGCATCACCTGGTAACCTGATCACGCCCACACCAGGAAAGAATGGAACCTGGTGATAGCTGGTGCATCTTTACGCGAAGCCCGAACTGTGCAAAACGCTGGATTGCCGGGTGCCGGGACCCATCCTTTTGCACTGGTTTCAAGGAAACTCCGCAGCCATCTTTCCCGGTTCAACCATTTTTTTCCGCTTGGGGGCCCACAAAAACATGCATAGAATCGCAGATAGATTCGCACAGTTTTTTCCTTCGATTTTTTTTCTGCAAGTCAAACATAACCCAGCACTTCTCGTGCTTTCACATATGTTGCATAGAGATCTGCCGACATCAAATGCAAAGAAGCTCTGGCCTCATTCATCTCATCTTCGTCGTTGGTGTGCTCGTCATCATCGCCTGCGCGGTGCAAATCTTCAACGCGAGCAGCTTTCATCATCTCCGCCTTCTGAAGATCGGTGATGTCATCGAAGAGAAAATCCATGATCTTCCTGAGTCGCAAACATGGTTCTTTACCCGAAATGGCAATTGGAATCATCAGATCCAAGCAGCAAAATTGGAAATGCCAGCATATATTACATACATATATATATATGCGAATCGGGGATTGTTGGCCCGATTATGTTCCTGTAGTTGATGTTGATACTTGCAGTTGCAATGACGACCTCACGAGGGCGGCAGCTTCCGCATGGCTTTCATTTTCCCTGTAGCTGCAGTATGTCTTGAGCCAAAGAGGCCAATGTCGGAGTGCCCCTTTGACGATGGATCCTAGAGTGTATGATTATGCATATATACAGTGATCCGTAGCCTACACTCTATTCGCGCCCCCCACGCATAGCCAACTTTGTCGGCTACGCGCAAAGGAGTGTTCTTTGAATTGATCCATTACACTCGCAGCTATTCATTTATTGAATTATGGAGAGCTAAAGTCCGTTTCAGAACTTCATATCTACATGGCGGCTTGCTACAATCTCTACCAAAAGATAAAGGTTCTGTTCACGTGCATGTAGACACGACGTAGTCGGTGTCTAGCATTGAGGTTCATCCGATGTGGCGTAGCCAGCATGGAATCCCACTCAAGCAGGTGAATTACAAATAAAATCAAAACACAAATATGACTCAGGAACTAGAATTTTACCTTCCCGTTCCTTCGTCGATTGAGATGTAGACCGCTGTAGAAACTCAGCGTCTCATGCAATGATGTTCAAAAAAAAATGTGTGGTCCTAAATTAGCCGGCTCAGAGTCCTCTCAGAAATCATTCAAAATGAAGTAGAGGTAAATCTCGAGCAATGATTGCATCCTCGCATCGCCAGGTTCAATCGGGACCTATGCAGAGGTCAGATCGCTTAATCATCTATTTCCCCATCCATAGTATCCCTGATGGTTCCAGTCTCCGCCACGGTGTGAATAAGATTTTCCACCTTTTCCTTGGTCTTTTCCACCCTTCTTTGGCGGGTTCACTGGAGCTTGTTTTGGCGGAGGAGCGGTTTCAACTGTTCTCCATGTCGCTGACGATGATGCTTTCGCTTTCAACACTCTTCCCAGTGCTGGTGCAGCTTTCGGGGCTGCTTTCGATTTGCCAGCGGCTGGATTGGTACGTTCACGATCAGCAGGAGTCGGGGTATCAGCAATCGCAAGTATGTGAGCTTCAGACAAGTGGATGCCCCACCTTGGTCGTTGATCTTCCCGTTGCTTAATGTGATTGTAGTCATCGATCGCATCATATAGCTTTTGGAGTAGAGGTCGCGGCAATTGTCGGCCATTCTGAAGGATCAGGTGTAAAAGTGATATTCTTCGAAGTGGGGGACGAAGAGCACACACAATGTCAACTGGATTCAGTGTGATTGTGTCTTGAAAGTCAACGTTCCTGAAGAAATAAACAGCATTTACCCTATATGCACCTGCAATGATTCTTCTGACCATGACGTCTTGTCGGTCAAGGGCGTCGCGGGCCGCTGTGGTCTTTCTCATCTCATCCATTGTGGTGTCACGTTTCGACAGCTTCTCCATCTCCTCATCAAAGAATATGTTTTGCAAGTCATCATACGTGTAGCCACATTCAAGGGTATATATGAGAAGTCTTTTGAGTACCACTGCCCCATAGTATGCATTGACGAATCCCTCTTCTCCGATGTCGTCCTTTTGATTTGGTCGGCCGATCTCTTTGTAGAGCTCTTTCATCTGTTGTGCAGTTGGTTCAATGAGTTCACCATTTTCATCCTCGCCCAGGTAAGGTGTCCTTGAGTCCAGGTCCATCCTGAATTTCTGGTTCTGTTGAAAATGTTTCCATGCCGTCTCGATGTCTCCACAGAAGTTCCGTTGGAATAGTCTGTAGATCCTGACGATATGTAATCCAATCTGCAACAGGAGGATCTTGATGAATTCTGGCTGAGCATCTCCAATTGTGCAAGGTTCGATCGGCAGGACCTTTGATCCAAACTCAATCCGTTGCATCCACTTGGGGTACTCAATCACTGCATCACGAGCTTCTCCAGCCTCGTACTCTTCAATGTTGATTTCATCGACCGCTATCTCTTCATCATCGTTCTCATCGGTCGGTCTTCCTTCTTGATTGAGAAATTTGTCGACCTCATCTTGTTCTCTGAAGTCTCTTTTCTCATCATTGATGTCGCCCTTCTTCGAGGCTTGATCATCATCTCCTTCTTCTGGTTGAGTTTCTTGTTCTGGACTCTTCATGGTGACATCATCATCATCTGGCATCACCTCGTCGTCATCATCATCACCTGTCAAATCGATCTTCACCTCCTCCCATGCTTTCTTGACATGGTCTTTGAGATCTTCTTCTCGATGATGCGATTCGGCACTTGGTACTGTAGCCACGGTGATCTTGATTCGTTTCCTCCATCCATGACTCACCAAAAATCCTTTGCACATCACACAAATCGATAACGGCGCAGGGGTCTCCATCAGACATGCGGGGCATAGTCGATGGTCCTCTTTGCTAGGGTGATGAGTGACTGCCAATAATGAAATTGCATCATTCCAATCCGGATGTCCAGGGAACAATCTGTGAGTATGACTGAAGTGACCGGTCCTGATATCGACAAGTTTTCGAAGTTCGTCTAGATCGGGTGATGACTCTTCAGGCACAATGTTTCCAATGAGCTTGTCAAATCGTTCAATGGTGGCCACCCTCTTTGCACCTTGCACAGAAAGAACAAGTTGATCTCTTCCCTTCGTGATCATGAGACGGTAGTAGTCCTTTTCTCTCCAGTCGTAATACCAAACTGCATCGAATGATTCGAATGGAATTGTTTCTTGGACCAAAATGTGTCCGTCTGCTGATAATCGAGGGGAGAACTTGGCGATGGAATCATACGTGATGTAGATGTAGACAAGATCAGTTTGATCAATCTTCCTGAATCTCAGCACCATTTGACTTCTCACATCCCACGGCGCGAATGGCACGAAGAACGTATTGATGCGGTCGCCTCCTCCTCCTGGACGTAGTCCTTCTCTGAAGATTTGAGCGATGTTGTCAAATGTGGTGCAATGAAATCCTCCTCCAAGAGTGTATCCTACTCCAGGGTTCATCTGATAGGAAGTCTTCTTGTCTTCGATGTGCACACCGCCTTGAACTCTTGAATGCGCCATAGGGGCACGGATTGCCACCGGCCAAAGCCAAATCTCTCGATCTGCTGTGCCGATCTCCAACCTCAGTGTTTGTCGATCAAGTCTAGAGGTCAATCCATCATTGAAGTTGTTCATGATGTGTTCCAACTCACCTTTCGTGACCTTGAGTCCTAGCACTTGTGCTCGGATTCTCTTCGTTTGCTTGTACTCAGTGAAGATCACTCTCTGGAAGTTGTTCCATCTCTCAACAAGTATCGGGTAGTTGACGTAGGCCGTTCCAGCCAAAGTATGTTGGTCTTTCCAAATGGCATCGTACTTCAAGATCGACTCAACATTGACCCAACCTGCCTCGTCGCATGGTAGTCCACGGTGATTTCGATTGTCTCTGACGCAACCCACGGAGTGGCGTAGCGCTGCATTGAATCTTTTTGACAATTCAACTATCCATGGCGGATTTTCCCACTTGTTGCCCATCCACTCATTCTCGCCATATCGATGCACCTTGCACCAGCCCATTCCAAGATATTCTTCTCCGTTGATGCGGGCAAGTTGAAGTTTACCGATGTTGTGGCCGTGTGTGAATGGTTGGATGTACTTGAAATTCCAGTTGTTTCCATGTTGTTTTCTTTCTTCAGTAAGCCATTTTACATAAGCATCATGATCAAGGGGGTTCCAAGCGTTCAGCTCTTCAATGTCGGCAAAACAGGCGGGGATTCCTCAGCCGCACGCTCAATCAGCAAGTCAAGCTCATGACGATTCTTCACACCTCGGCTAATTGGGTTGACTTCGACACCATTCACTAAGTATTGTCCTCCTTCTTCACGATCACCAATGTCGTACATAAAGGCTGACTGACTGTAGAAGCACTTGGTCACTTCCTCTTTCTCAGTGAATCTGGTTCTTCCCCAACGCTTTCCTCGTGGCATGACGTTCTTTGGGAGCTTGTCTTTTCTGCCTCTGGTTGCAGCTTTGGATCTTTCGGATGATGATGGGGATTTGGACTTCTGATCCATGATCAATCTCATGCGCCATATGGTGTCCTTCATGTTCTCATCATCTGGTGTAGTACATTCGTCAATGCCATGCCTTCCACCACAAATGAAACAATATTGAACATCCAATGCATCTGAAATCAGCTTCTCAAAACGATCACGGATGTCACGCACCTCGGTTCGGCGCTTCTTCGCTTCTGAAGGTTGTCCCCCCATGCCATCTTCCTCCTCCTCAATCTCGATGTCACCAGCTCCGGCATCGGTTTCTCCTGAAGTTTGTTCTGCTCGAGGGCCCCGCGCCGTAGGCGTCGTGGTCTCCTCATCAGGTTCATCAACTTCATCCACCTCTTCATCGCTTGATGAGACCTCAATCATTTCAGGGTGGTCATCGTAGTTGGCTTCTGGGAGCACCGGCATTCTGGTGATCTTCTTCTGCATGAGTAGGTCAAAAATTCCTGCTTCTTTCAAAATGGTAATCACCATGTCATTCTCGACCGGCGGGATGTATGCTTTCCTGGATCGGTTTCGCTTTGTGTTGATGGTGTCGGTAGGTCGACATGAACTGCTGAATAGCCAAAACGACTCTTCCAGTCCTGCGAGGCAACTGTCAAGGTTTGCCCCCCATCCAGCGAACATAGTAGGGAATTGAATACCCAGATCAAGCATTCCAAGCCAGAATTCGAAAATGTCGCCGACATACTCAGCTGTTGCAGTTGGATTGATCATTGATTCGATCTCCTCCTTGGTCAGCACGGTCTTCATGTAGTCATGATAAGCGACGTTTCCGCCATCCCAAAGCAGTCTGTAAAACCATCGCATTCGGTGCATTCCGCCTCCGCAATCCTCTGTTCGAGTTTCACGTTGTACAGTGAACTGGGGCAACAGGTCTCGTCTGCATTTCCCT